TGTGCTATGGCAATACCAGCGGCGTTGACGAGAACGTCAAGCTTACCGAATTTCTGTTTTGTAAAATCAAGAGCACCTTGGACATCAGTTTCTGAAGTTACCTGGAAGAAAAAAAATTAGGATTTATGTTTAAAGAAAAGGTATTAATAAAAAATAAGAATATATAACATAATATATAATTAATTAAAACATAATATATAATTAATAAAATAAGAATATATGATAAGAGTAGAAAGAACAAATAATAGTAATACATTGTAAGTAACAATTTTCAAGAAGTTAGATACATAATTTAATATTTTAAGAAAATTATTGTTTCTAGAGAATTTTAAATAAATTATAATTACTGTCAGAAATCAAAATTTCTGTCAGATAGATAAATGATCTGACAAAAAACAAGTTTTAAAGATGTTAAAATGTATTTTCCATTTCATACGTTAAAATTATATCTAAGAGATTATGTAATCATCTTTAATAATTATATTTAAACACAACATACATCCATAGGTGCAAAGGCTGCATTGGATTCTCCTAATTCGTCGGCCACAGTTTTACCTTTAGAAGCAGGCAAATCGCCAACTATCACCTTTGCACCCTGTTTGACAAATCTTTCCACAGTGCCACGGCCTAGGCCTGAGGCACCACCGGTCACCAAAGCCACAGTGCCCTGTAATAAATAAAAAAAACATACATTTATTGATATAATTATCACAAATTAATCTCATCAATTTTAATACAAAATTGTAATTGTCATTGTCTTAATTAACTTTTACGCGCGATTATCTCAAAATTGACATCCTGGATAAAAAAAATTTCAGATAAAAATTATTCTCCTCGGATAGAAACATTTTATAATTGTCATAACTTTATTTTAAAAATAAACGCTTGCTAAATGTTTAACAAGCCTCGTTTTTCAGACCGCGTTTTCCGATGTTCAATGCCAACGTTGTAAAATCGGTAATGCACGTATCAGGCCGCGTTTTCCGATGTTCAATGCCAACGTTGTAAAATCGGTAATTACACGTATCATTCGCTACAGTATAACGACAGTGAATATCAAAACGCAGTCTAAATAAGGCAGGATTATATAAATAGAGCATAAAGAAAGCTTTTAAATAAGACATAAATAAAGATTAAATCCACATTTCGGATTGACTTTGAACTTTGGACGGATATTATCTTCCAAAAAAACATATGGTGACATAACCCTAAATCAAATCTCAGCAAACTCAACAACCACATTTTTCGATTCGAAAAACATAATGTAAAACACATCGATATATAATCGCATATGTAATAATAATAATAATAATAATAATATAGTACTACACATATTATAATAAAATATCAGTCAAATCAGAGAAATGCAAAACAGTTCCGGCAAATAGCTGTAATAAAAAGTAGAAATACGAATGCACCGTGTGTTTAAACAATCAACGTAAGATCGG